TTGGCCGCACATGTCCCCAAGATTACAGGATGCAATGCCTCCCAGATGAGCATCGAGGGAACATGGCCATCAAGCAGCAACCAGCTCTTGCTGGGGTCTGGAAAGAAGTGAATCAGCATCCTGCCCTTTCATCACTTCCCATGCCTCACAGATTTTGGAAACTGCTGCCAATCAAGAGAGAGGCCCATGTGGATTTCTTCATGATGGCAGCTGAAGAGATAAGAAGTGTGCAGTAAATTTTTTTTTGCAGAAGCAGCCACAACAACTCTCCCTGTACCCACGCTCTCGTGTAATCTCCAATCAAAGTGATTCTGGGGTTGGCCTTGTGACTTCTTTTGGCAAAGCTTGTGTTTGCCCTCTCTTGCTGCTCTTGGCATTCTTGCAACCACCACCCCTGGTGGGTGAGAAAGGTTGAAACCCAGAGTGACAGTACTAGAGGCACTTCTACTTTATAAAAAAAGAGACTGAGGTTTCTGAAAGGTTGCATACCAGCCTACAGATGCGCAGCCAGCAAAAATTAGAGATTAGCCTGTAAAAATTAGAGATAACCTCTGTCTCCTCCCTGAAGGGCAGGGACCATCTTTTTAGCACTTCTTGTCCTTCCTCACACAGAGTAGGTGCTCAATAAATAGTTGCTGTTCATGAACTGAAAAGCTATGCCCTCTTCTGAGTAAGCCTAAAATCAAAGAATTTCCATAGAAATCATGGTCCTAGAGAACTAGGGAAGCAGAAAAATGCATCCCATAAACAGTCCAAGTGACCGGGACAATCTGGGCAAGTTTTTTACGTGCCCAAGACCCAAATAGTCTAGGCCTTATACTGATATTCCCATGAAAGCAAATGCCCTGCCGAAAGAGTTCTAATGAAGCCTTGCAGATACTTACAGGCCTACGCGAGAATTAAAAGTAAGGCAACAGTGAAGAACACTATCTGGTATTTAGAAGAGCCAAGAAGCCAAGGACAAAGAAGCTAAATGAACCATACAATTTAGGGCCCTTTCTTAGATTAAGAGTGGGAATTCAATATCCAGAGCATAACATTTCTAAGTATGGAACAGCTCGAAATATAACTGCCCTTGGGAAGTTGTGGTTGGAGTTGCATGCCTACCTTCATCCTTGAATTTATTGTAGAGGTAGAAAAAGCACAGTTTTGGAGTCAGAGAGCCCTGATTTATGCCTTGGATCTGCCACTGATCAGCTGTGCAAACCTGGGCAAGTCATTTAACTTCTCTAAGCCTCAGTTTCCCCATCTGTAAGATGGGAATATACCTACTTTTTAGGCTTTCGTGAAAAACTAAAGAAGATCGTATGAAGTGGAGTGGCTGGCACAGAGCAATCGCTCGTTTAATGGCAGTAGCTACAGTGAAGATCATGAATGTACAGAGGCACAGGGCAATACTGCAACCTACCCTGGGCTATTTGTGGGGTCAAACCAATTTCCAACTCCTTGGTTTCCACCTTGTATCTGAGATCCAAGAGCCTGTGTTCCCCTCTCTGGACTCTGTAGTACCAGCTCTAGACCCACAGGTTGACGCTGAACTCCGAGTACTTGAGCCTGCTGACTGCCACATGGCGCCTGTGACACTGGCTGCTTTGTGCCACCTCTCCAAGGCTGGTCTGGCCTGCTTTAAACTCTCAGTGGCATTTTGCCTGGGGCTGGCAAAGCTTGGCAGGAGCAGGCAAGGACACAGGAAGGAGGCAGTGGGTACCATAAGAGATGGTAAGGACATCTCAAACAAACCTCCTAGTTTAGAGGTGCTGGTCATTTCCCAGAGCTGGCAAAATTTTTCACCCTCATGAGTAAAGGAGGAGAAGAGAAAGAAGAGGCATAGGGGATTCAGGGGTCAAAGAGTCTTCAGGTTTATGTATTAATGGCCTTCACTCTCCACTGCAACTCAAACAGGAGCCTCAGATTCTACAAATGCGACTCAGACTGAGCTCCCGTTTGGGCAAGTTAGAAACAAGATCGAACGCAATTTTGTCAAAGCCCTGTGCAGTAGGAAGGATGCATCCGGGCTGGACTTTGCAAAGCCTTTCTGAGAGATGATGCACGGGGGGCCTTTTAAACTGAGGGAAAGTTGCCTGTTGCCCTAGGTGTGCCCAGGCTTCTCACCTGCCGCAACTGCAGCTCCTTGAGCTTGAACTCCTCCTCCCCACTTTCAGATGCTAATTGGGAACTAATTTGTCACCCAAGGGCTGACCAGGAAAATGTAGTCACAAGACAAACAGGCCAGGCCACAGCAATGACTGAGATGTTGCTCTGAGTTCTGTCCTCAAGGCACTCCAGAAATCCTAGCCCCCTGTTTGTCATTGTGCTTAAACGCACTGTGCCTCAATTTCCCAAACTATAAAAAGGGAGCAACTGTAATTCTTGCTTCAGATGAGCCATCTGCAGCACAGGTTAATTTAAAATGAGCCAGCTACTCAGGAGAATATAATTTATTCTATAAACATTTTCCAGGGTTTGTTCAACAGCCAGAAGAGAAGCAAAATTCTCTCTAAAAGGCAGGAATGAGCTCTGCTTTTACATAGCAACAAAAAATCTGGCCCAAGCTTCTCTTAGAAAGAAAAAGGCACACTCCCGTGTTCAGCACACATTTGTGCCTTCACCGCATAATCCTCTAAGAAGTGACTAACTAGAGGGGTTATGCGACCGATCTCTTGGGTTCCCCTTGGTCAGGACCTACCTGGTATGGGTGAGAATTAACCTGCACGGAGAGTTAGAGGCCAAATCTGAGGGGCTCCTGCCTTGTCCCATAACATGTCCCTGCTGTGCTCTTGGTCTGGGGTTTTCCTCCTATAAAACTGACCCCAACATA